ATGACGACGATGATGCTGATGATGATGCTGATGCTGCTGATGATGATGCCGATGATGATGATGCTGCTGCTGATGATGAGGATGCTAATGATGATAATGATGATGCTGATGATGGTGATGGTGATGGTGACGATGATGCTGATTATTACACTGACGATGATGATGCTTCTGATTATGCTGCTGATGATGATGACGACGTTGATGATGCTGATGATGATGCTGATGATGATGTTGATGATGCTGATGAAGATGATGAGCTGACGATAGTGATGATGCTGATGGTGATGACGATGATGACGATGATGACGCTGATGCTGATGATGATGAAGATGCTGATGCTGATGCTGATGCTAATGCTAAATATTATGATGACGATGATGATGATAATGATGCTGATGCTGATGCTGATGCTGATGCTGCTGCTGCTGCTGATGATGTTGTTGTTGATGATGATGATTATGATGATGATGCTGATGATGATGATGATGATGATGCTGCTGCTGCTGCTGATGATGATGATGATGATGATGATGATGATGATGATGATGATGATGATGATGATACGGCCTTTTCATATGATAACGAGGATGAGGAGGATGCGCAGGATGATTTGGAGGCTTGTGATGGGTAAGGGAAGAAGGTAGTGGAGGAGGGGGGATTTGGCGGAGGAGGGCGAAGATGCGTAGGAAGTGCAGACGGCGGCTGATGAGCATTAGCGTGATGGGCGGACAGCCGAAAAAGGGTGGGCCAGGCGTTTTGCCTGCGATGCGGAATGCACAGATTGTGGACAGCACGCACACAGCATGGATGGGGCCGCATTGGCCCAACTGGCCACACAATGATCCAACCCCGCCCATCGGGACTGGAGCCATGCGGGCTCGCATTGGTCCCGTTTAGTGTGGGCACACGGTCACACCTGCGCGGGCGTTTTGCTGCGTTTGTCGTGGTGCTGTGTGCGTGCTGTCCGCAGCCAGGGGGTTCAGCATTAATTAGCACTACATCCTAGGGGTCGGGTGAAGGATGCAGGAGGTGGAGGAGGAGGAGGAGGACGAGGAGGAGGACGAGGAGGAGGAGGAGGTGGACGAGGAGGTGGAGGAGGAGGTGGACGAGGAGCAGGAGGCGGAGGAAGAGGAGACGATACCAGCGGCGCGGCGGAGGAGGCAGAAACGTCGCAGTTGGTACGCGTTTTTGTCCCGCGGCTGGTGGGTAGCGTGTGTCACAATGGAGTTTTGGTGGGCCGCTTGGCACAGCAGCGGCATGGGCGGGGAGAGCCGCTGAGATCGCATGGCCTGCGCGTTGTTTTCTTCTCTTGACGTCTGCATCTGCGCGGTGTTCCCTGCCGCCGTCGACCGCTGCCTTCACGCCCTGACGAAACACCGCGTCGCCGCAGCAGGCGCGGTGCTGGTCCAGACGTGCACCCGATTATCAACCGCAGGTGCTCGCCGGAATCCTTGCAGCCGAAATAGGGCCCCTATTCCGACCCTGACCCTCGGGCGGCGGCTGCCGCGGAGGGACGGGGAGGGGCAGGGATGGATGATGATGATGATGATGAGCAGGAGGAGCAGGAGGAGCAGGATGACGAGGAGGAGGAGGAGGAGGAGGAGCAGGATGATGCTGCTGCTGCTGCTGATGATGATGATGATGATGATGTTTTTGATGATGATTTTCATGATACTGCTGATAATGATGATGATGATGATGATGATGCTGATGCTGATGATGATGATGATGATGATGATGATGAGGATGTTGATGATCCCAAGATGATGATGATGATGCTGCTGATGATGAGGATGATGATGATGCTGCTGATGCTGATGCTTAGGATGATGGTGATGACGATGATTCTGAGGATGATGGCTGATATTGCTGATGGTAGTGGTGGTGATGATGATGGCTGGTGATGGCTGATGATGATGATGGTGGTGATGGCTGATGGTGATGGTGGTGTTCATGATGGTGGTGATGGTGAGATGGTTGATTGTGGTGGCGATGATGATGGTGATGCTGGTGATGGTGATGATGATGATGATGATAATGATGGTGGTGGAGTTGCTGATGATGGTGGTTGTGGTGATGCTGATGATGATGGTGAGGATGATGGTAAGGATGATGATGATGCTGATGCTGATGCTGATGATGATGATGACGGTGGCGATGATGATGATGAGGTTGATGATGCTGATGCTGTTGATGATGATGATGATGATGATGATGGTGATGGTGATTGTGATGATGATGATGATGACGATGATGATGATGATTCTTATTGTTTTGATGATGATGACGATGACGATGATGATGGTGGCGATGGTGATGGTGCTGATGATGCTGATGATGCTGATGATGCTGATGCTGATGATGCTGATGATGATGGTGCTGATGATGACGACGACGATGACGACGACAATGATGATGATGATGACGACGACGATGATGATGATGATGATGTTGATGATGATGACGATGATGGTGATGATGATGATGATGATGCTGACGATGATGATGCTGATGCTGATGATGCTGATGATGATGCTGATGACTCTGTTGATGTTGTTGATGATGATGATGATGATGATGCTGATGACGCTGATGCTGATGATGATGATGATGAAGATGACCACGACGACGATGATGATGATGATGATGATGATGATGATGGTGATGATGGTGATGATGATGATGCTGACGATGATGATTATGATGATGCTGCTGCTGATGCTGCTGCTGATGATGATGATGGTGATGATGCTGCTGCTGCTGCTGCTGCTGATGATGATGATGATGATGATGATGATGATGATGATGATGATGATGATGGGGCATGGCTGATGGCGGGTGGCTGATGATGACGACGACGACGACGGTGGGGGAGGAGGAGGAGGAGCAGGAGGAGCAGGAGCAGGAGGAGGAGGAGGAGGAGGAGGCGGCGGCGGCGGCGGTGGCGTCTTCAGAGGAAGATGTGGCGGCGGCGACGGTGGCAGAGGAAGAGTCGGCCGCGCGCCACCGCGCGGCCGCGGCAGCGTCAGTCGCTCGGCCGCCGACCCTCGCTCGCCGCCGCTCGCCCGCAGCACCGCCGCCGCAGACCGCCAGGGCGCTGGGGAGCTCTACACGGTCGGCACGTTGTGCAAGGTCGCCTCGCACACGAAGGTCACCTCGAAGGCGCCTTGGCACGCTCGTCTGTCTCGGCCCCCCCGCGGGTGCTCGGCTGCTCCTGCGGTCCAGCGCGTGGGGCCGAGGGGGTCGGCGAGCGCCGCTGTCGGAGGCGAGGCCGGGGAGTCGTGGGGAAGAAGCCTTGCCGCAGGGTTGTCCTCGCCCTTCCCCCCCAGGCGAGGCAGAGGGGATAATGCAGCGACCCCCGGTCTCAGCCACGCGTGGAGGGGGGGGTAGGGGGAGATGGGGAAGGCTCCTCTCCTAAGAAGCCTCCCCCCCTCCCCCTACATCCCTTGTGCGCGCCGCCACAGTCGCCCACTACTCGTCACTGGCGGATGAGGCTCGGAGGGGAGTGTATCGACCCCATGGTCGCTCATTGATAGCCCATCCCGCTCAGGAGCGCGCGGATTCGCTATCTGGGGCCTGTCGCCGATCCGTCGGCGCTCTGCTTTGCCGATTCCGAGAGGAGTCTTCCTCTCCCCCTCCCGAGCCAGTGCCCCTTTGTCGTTCCCCCTCCGCAGCGAGAGCGCCGGCACGGAGGAGGCGGAACAAATTAATATGACTCTTTACTCGCCGTCTCCCGCCGCCGCCGCTATCATCGTCTGACATTGGCGTTGGATCCGCAGGCTTACGAGGCCATAACTAGGTGGAAAAGGGGCGTGCCCTCGGCCGGCCAGCTCCCCTCCCTACACGTGCTTAGCTGCACGCCATCGCTTAACGGTCTTTTGCCTTCGCCACGTCGAGCGGCAGCGAAACGAGATGGGAAGAAGACGACCAAAGAGGTTGCAGAGCGTAAGCCGCGCGTTCTCGAGAGCATCGTAGCACTCGGGGGATTGTGCGATCTGTTGGCTTCAGGAGGGTACTCAGAGTCAATAAACTGTGCGAGCGTGCTTGTCCCTGACATGTTCCATTCGCATCCAAACTCACCACCCATCGAACCACCCCAACCCAACCCGAATGCCCAATTTGCCCTCCATTTCTGGTGGTGGGGGGGTTCGGGAACATTGACAAAAACACATATGGAACCCGTACCCCCCCCAAACCGAAATTCGGGTCTTCGGGTTGGGTTGGGGTGGATTGGTAGTTGTCACAAACGAGATACGGTAGGTTCGCGTCGTGTCGACCAGCGGCGACCCCGCCGCTGGCGTTCAACATTGAGCGCCGCCGGCGACCCAGAATCGGCCGAGATTGAGCGATCTGACGTTTCCAAAACAGCCGATCGTTCAAGGCTGGAGGATCCCCGCAGTGTCAGAAACCACCGGCGGAGTCGGCACGACGCAAGCCTGCCGTACGACCCGTGAACGGGGAGAGAGGAGCGGGGAGGAAGGCAGAAGGGTGGAACGACGTAGCTGGCGGCTCCCCGGGGGCTGAGCTGGCATCCCCTGGATCACACCACAACGTGCGGGTTCCCCTGTCTCCCCAGGTCTTCTACCAAATTGTCTTGGCTTTTGCTCCTCGTCGTCGTCGTCGCCCTCCCTCCTCCGTGAACTGTCACGCTAATGAGTCTCACGGGGATCCAAAGTGCATCTTGGGCTCCGGCCCAACCGCCGTGCTCTCATAGGGCCGTCCCTCTGTTCGTATGTCGGCGCCTCGCCTCGCCTCGCCACCACAACTTGCGGGAAAATAGTAACTCAGCCCAAACAGTGGAGGCTCATGCCAAGAAACACCTTGCTTACCTCCAGGGTGTCCTGAGCTTCTTGGATTTCGATGGTTTTGCGATCGAGAGCGTGACGTTCCCTCACCAAAAATCAATGGACGTCCTGGGGTCTCAGGGTTGGGTTTCCAGCTGCCCCCAGGTAGCGCCTACGACGGCCCCAAGAGGACCCTTGGATGGCCCGGAGAGGGCTGTGGGGCACCAGTGACTGAGGAAGCCGCCACGATGGCCCCGAGGGCCCAAGACAACCCAAGAGGTGCCCAAGATGCTCCCAACGAGCCGTAGCCATTTGTTTTGCCCAGTGGAGGTCTCCAGGTTGGTATCGTGTCTGGTCCCTGGCTGAACAGCCCCCCGCCGCCATGCTCTGCGCCATGCTTCAGGATGGTGGGGCGGCTCTCGCCGAGCACGGGACGGGGAAGGTGGCGCGCCCTGAGCCGGACGGGATCAGCTTGGCCCTCACGCGATGCCCAACGGAAGAGCTGGTCGCCTTCTCCGTCGACGACGGCCAGGACGCCAACGCGCACGAGACGAGCCGGGGCGCCACCGCAATGCCGAAGGACGGCGACGAGCTGGCGCTCCTCGAGGCGGCGTCCCTCGCCGACCCGCGCCCTCGCCCCCCCAGGCGCCTCAGGTCCGCGGCGTACTGGGAGCAGAAGGCCGCCGCCGTCGCCGCCGAGTGGCCCGCGCGTTCGCCTTGGGAGCTGGGCGTGAGGCCGCGCCGCCCGTGCCTCGACGAAGGTCACTGCCCGCCAGAGTACCCCAACCCAGCGCGAAGGCCCCGAGCTGGCCAGTCGGCCACGCGCAGAGGGGGGCTGGGGGGGGGGGCCTCTCAGAAGCAGCCTCCTCTAATGAGCATTCTCCAATCCCTCCGCCCCCTGGTGCCTCACCGCCAGCCCAGGTTGGGGGGCATCCCTGGCCACGGAAACAACACGGATGGAATCCGTACGCCCCCCAGCCCGAAATTTGGGGCTTCGGGTTGGGTAAAGTGAGGTAGTAAACCTCGGAAGCTTTCGTTCGTTTTGGATTGAACGCGTATCGGCGAGCAGCGCCCAAGAACGCTCAACAACGCCAAATAGCACCCAGAAGCGTCCAGCAGCGCCGAACAGCGCTCAAAAAACATCCAGTCTGTAGCGTCAGGCGAGGGAGATGCACCGTGTCCGCTCTTGCGCGGGATCGGTTGCGCCTTTGGGCGCCATGTGGACCACCATATGCTTCTGTGAGCTGCTTTCTAAGGTCTCGAGAAGGGGATCGACTACATAATCGATTTGCCCCAACATGGTTTTCCCGTCGAATCTGCGGAGGAAAACAACTCGAAGTCTCAGCAGATTTGCAAACAAATCCTCGCATTCGTCGTACGCCTTCGATGAGGGGGAAATCCATTCTTTGGGGGTACGTAGATTAGTTCTGTGGTCGATCCCCCACTCGAAGGTTGGAGAGGTCTGGCCGGCAGCCGCGAAGGGCACCGCCTCGGGCCGGCGGCGCCCGCGGCCCCCGCGGCGCCGGCGGCGGGGTGCGCCGAGGGCGGCGGCGCGGTGGGCAGCCCCGGGAGCTGGGCGGGCGCCATCTCGGGGGCGCTTCGCCGCGAGGCGCGCGGGCCTCCCGCGCCGCCGGGGTCGCCCTCGGCGGCGCGCGGGGCCACGCCGAGCTCGCGCGGCTGAGCTCGAGCAGAAGGCGGTGGTGAGCCCAGGGGGAGGAACAGGAGGAAGAGGAGGAGGAGGAGGAGGAGGAGGAGGAGGAGGAGGAGGAGGAGGAGGAGGAGGAGGAGAGGAGGAGGAGGAGGAGGAGGAGGAGGAGGAGGAGGAGGAGGAGGAGGACAAGGAGGACAGGAGGGAGGAGGAGGAGGAGGCGGAGGAGGAGGAGGAGGAGGAGGAGGCACAGGGGGCGGGCCTCCTCGGAGGGGCCCCATGTCCTGCCGCGAGAAGTCGTCTGCTAGCCTCCTCTCTCTGGGAGGCATAGGCGGCTTCCCAGGAGGCGCGAGGGACTCCGAGAGAAGGGAGGAGGAGGAGGAGGAGGAGGAGGAGGAGGAGGAGGAGGAGGAGGAGGAGGAGGAGGAGGAGGAGGAGGGAGGAGGAGGAGGAGGAGGAGGAGGAGGAGGAGGAGGAGGAGGAGGAGGAGGACACTATAGAACGATTCTCGCCCACCGGCACCGGCACCGGCACCGGCACCGGCACCAGCACCGGCACCGGCACCGGCACCGGCACCGGCACCGGCACCGGCACCGGCACGGGCACCGGCACCGGCACCAGCCCTGGCGCCGGCGGCATTGGCACCGGCACCGGCACGGGCACCAGCGCCGGCGCCGTCGCCGGCGCCAGCACCGGCACTGGCACCCGCACCCGCAACCGCACCGGCACCAGCCCTGGCACCGGCACCGGCACCGGCACCGGCGCCGGCGCCAGCATTGGCACCGGATGAAAAACATTATCCCGGCAAAGCAACCTAACAGCGATGTGTAGAAGCATATCTGAAAGCATTCCCCTTAAGATTCAGATGAAAATCCAGTTGTAGAATTCTGCTGTTCTCGCAGTCGTAGTCGCATTCGCGATGACAGTCGCATCGGCAACGGCAGTCGCAGTCACAGCCTCAGCCTCAGCCTGCCTCAGCCTCAGCCTCAGCCTGCCTCAGCCTCAGCCTGCCTCAGCCTCAGCCTCAGCCTGCTTCAGCCTCAGCCTCAGTCTGCCTTCAGCCTCGGCCTCAGCCTCAGCCTGCCTCAGCCAGCCATCAGCCTCAGCCTCAGCCTGCCTCAGCTCAGCCTGCTTCAGCCTCAGCCTCAGCCTGCCTCAGCCTCAGCCTCAGCCTCAGTCTGCCTTCAGCCTCGGCCTCAGCCTCAGCCTGCCTCAGCCTCAGCCTGCATCAGCCTCAGCCTCAGCCTCAGCCTGCCTCAGCATCAGCCTGCCTCAGCCTCAGCCTCAGCCTGCCTCAGCCTCAGCCTCAGCCTGCTTCAGCCTCAGCCTCAGTCTGCCTTCAGCCTTCAGCCTCAGCCTCAGCCTCAGCCTGCCTTCAGCCTCATCAGCCTCAGCCTCAGCCTGCCTTCAGCCTCGGCCTCAGCCTGCCTCAGCCTGCAGCATCAGCCTGCCTCAGCATTCAAAATGTGGCCCAGGAATAAGTTCTGGGAACTCGAAGAACACGAAGTGGCCTACAGTTGGCTCCGGGCATTCAAAATCATGCCCAGGAATGGAGTTCTGGGAACTCGAAGAGCACGAAGTGGCCTACAGTTGGCTCCGGGCATCCAAAATGTGGCCCGGGAATGGAGTTCTGGGAAATCGAAGAGCACGAAGTGGCCTACAGTTGGCTCCGGGCATCCAAAATGTGGCCCGGGAATGGAGTTCTGGGAAGTCGAAGAGCACGAAGTGGCTTACAGTTGGCTCCGGGCATCCAAAATGTGGCCCGGGAATGAAGTTCTGGGAGCACCAAGAGCGATTTTGCGAGGATGTCCCAAGCGATTTCGGCTTCGACGGCAGCCTCCCCGGGTCCCGCCCAGCCCCCTGAGGAGTCATGATGCACTAGAAACCTATCAGCAAGAGCTGTTAGGTAATCATTGACATTGAACATCATGACATTTCCCAAACAGTGCTTGCACTTAGGGGGCCTTCTCTCTTCTTTCCTAGTATTAGCTGGGTCGTCTGAGGGGCGGTCTGGCGGCTCTCTCCTCCTCGCCGTTGCCGCCCTGTCGCCGCCCGTCGTCGTCTGGGCTTGAGGGGCGGTCTAGTTTTTCCGTCCTTGCCGTCGCCCCCCCTTGCTGCGTCGTCGCCGCCCGTCGTTTTGGCCTGAGGGTCGGTCTGGCGGTTCCTTGCTCGTCGCCGTCACCGTCCCGTCGCCGCCTCCTCGTCGCTGCCCTGTGCGCCCCCCAGCGGTTGCAATCCAATCGGTTGCAAGCCAATCAAGTGCAAACCCAGTGGAATCGATTGCAGTCCAATCAATGGTAAAATTATGCAAACGCAGTTCCCCACATCAAAAATATTAACAGTTTCGTGAGACCCATAGGGTACGACAACATCAACACGAAGGAGAAGCTCATCGAACGAGTAAGTACGCACGAAAGGGCAGACGAAAGAAAGGAGGAGGGAGGACAGGTGTTCAGGAAACGAAGCCTTGTAAATAGTACGGGTTGTTGATACCCTTTTCGCTCTGGCGGGGCCCCGCTGGAAGGGGGGAAGCCTACGAAACCTGGTAAAGAGCAATTCTGTCCGCGACCCTCCTCGTTCAAGCGAGTCCTCCTCCTCTTCCTCGTCGTCCTGCTCTTCCTCGTCCTCCTCATCCTCGGCATCATCATCATCATCATCATCATCAGCATCACCAGCATCATCGTCGTCATCATCAGCATCATCAGCAGCATCGTCGTCACCCCGTCGTCGTCGTCATCATCAGCATCATCGTCATCATCATCAGTATCAACATCATCAACATCATCATCATCAGCATCATCATCGCCAGCGTCATCGTCATCATCATCATCGTCGTCATCGTCATCATCATCATCGTCGTCGCCACCATCGTCATCATCATCATAATCATCAGCATCGTCATCATCATCACCATCACCGTCCTTGGCATCATCATCGTCCGCATCATCGTGGACGTCATGATCATCAACATCATCGTCGTCATCATCATCAACAGCACCGGAAAACGTCAGCATCAGCAGCAGCATCGTCATCATCACCAGCATCTGCATCATCATCCTCGTCGTCGCCATCGTTGTCATCATCGTCATCGTCATCATCATCATCGTCATCATCATCAGCATCATCATAATCACCGTTATCGCCATCGTCATCGTCCATCAGCATTATCGCCATCGTCATCGTCATCGTGAACAGCAGTATAACCATCGTCATCACCATCATCATCATCATCATGAAGCCTTCCTCATCGCAGAA